TTTCTTCCAAAAGGAACTTTTATTAGGAGAAGCTGATAGCAGGCAAAATAGACAGGATCTGAGGGGTTCCTGCTCAGATCAATAGGTTAAAAGTGTCCCAAGCAAACTCCACCCCAATAGTTCATCTAGTCAATTCGAATGGGCCAATCCCCAGGTGTTAAGTCCGTTGTGGGAAAGAGCTGATAATGCCAGGCTGTCTCAGGGTTGCAGCGATGTTTTGTTGGGTCTTCACACTTTCCCTTCCGAAAGTGGAGATAAACCAGTTGCCGGAGGCGCATTCCTTTCTCCTCAAGGGGGAAAATAGTTCAAAGAGCGTGTATGTGGAGACAGCAAAAGTGTTACAGTGTAGCGATAGAGGAAAACAAAGAAACATTCCGCAGCGTTTCCCCCCTCCCCTCCAGGAGCATGGCAGAACCCAGAAGAGTAGAAAGATTAGAGTTAGAATTAAAGGTAGAAAGAGCCCCCTTAGAATATGGGTTCTGACAGTCCCTATACATTTAAAGAATTTAGCTATTGCACACTAATTATTAACCACTTACAGTATTCTGGGGATTGGAGATCTCATGAAAAATGGCTAGCTTTTTGTAATTAATTTTAATTAATTGATTTTAATTAAATTTTTTTGTATATTAATTATAACCCTACCTTGAAGAACAACAGGCAAAGATTCAAAGGTCTTTCCTAGGGGATTGTTGACAGAAGTGCTAGATTGTCCTCTTAAATGGAGATACCTAACAATATGCTAAATCAATTTAGGGGATCGTCTTTTAATATTTACATTAGTATAGGTATTATTAAACAAAATAGGAGCAGAATCTATTTTGTTTTTAATAAAGGAGAATATTTGTAGTTCAGGGTTGAAATGAGGTGTCCTTGGTGCTCTCTGAGCTTGCTTGTTTTCTTGCAGATGTTTCATTACTCAAACTTGGTAACATCATCAGTGCTAGTTTGCTGTCAGTTTCTATTCCATAAACTGAATAAAAACTGAATAGAATATAAAGAGACAGCAAACCACACTCCTTAGTAGCAGTGCTTAGTTTGGGTAATGAAACATCTGCAAGAAAACAAGCAAGCTCAGAGAGCACCAAGGACCCCTTACGTTTTGTTTTTTAGAATCCTTTTGAAATAGGGATTTGAGAGGGAGGCAGCCTTGACTCTGACATCTAATCTGCGTGGTTATATTGTCATATAACAACCATGTCAGTAGCAACCATTGCTGTTCAATAGAGATTGCTCGTACTTGACACATAACTTTCTTTTGGGAATTGTACAAATTCTGATTTTAATTTAGCAAATATATACGAGGAGCAATTCTGTTATGTTTTTCTACCAATGTAATATTAACCACTAGAATATAGTTACTGTCCCAAATGCAAGGTAATTTTATCTTCTAGTCACTATTTAAAAATAAATATGCCTCACATACAATCTATTAACCATGCTCAGTAAGCTAATTATATGGCACTTGGCAAAATTAATTATATCACTTTGTTGTAAATTAAATAACTTATAGAATGATCCTGGTCATCACACTTCTTATTGTCCAATCCATATATGTAAACTGTTAGTACTGTTACTATCTGATTTTAGAGATTCTGGAGGTATCATGTTCCATTTAGGTACTTCCCTATATTTCAACTATACAATTAACTTCAAAGCAGTGACATCTAATATTAGCAATTCAACATCTAATATAATGTAGGAAGCTGATCATAAAGTTAATAGGATAGTACTGTTGAAGGAACTGGGTCCAGAAGGTGGTAAATGCCTAAATGAGACAGAGAACATTTTGGTCTGTTTAAAAGACACAATGATCAGGCTACTCCTTAAGAACAAGACCTGAACCCAGGTGATAAAACAATGATAGGCCTGTGTACAATATTGTCTTTCTAGACCTGGTACTTGACTGGGTGCTAGCTGATCAAGTCCAGGCTCTCTTGGACGAAACAGATTTTCTACATCCATATCAGTCTTGTTTAAGACTTGGAAAGAACCATGCTGAGGAAAAAAAAAAACAAGGTTACCCTATTCATCCCTCTGTACCTCTTTGTGGATTTCAGTATCATCAACTATGATATTTTCTTGAAGAGTCTGTCAGAGCACTGTACTACGATGGTTTCACTTCTCCATGGACAGCTGTTTCCAGAGATTGCTAGATTGGCAATTGATTAGACTGGAATCCTAATTTATCCTATATGCTTTTTAATGTTGACATGAAACTGCTTGGAGAGAATATCTAGAGATCTGGGTGGAATTGTCATCAATATGTGAATGATGCCTATGATCCAATATGTATTTGGAGTTTTGAACCAGGCTTGGGAGATTAATGCACTGGATAAGGGCCAATAATCTAAGACTCAGTCCAAATAAGACAGATATACAATCTGTGGGTGGCGCATCTATGCAACTGAGTGATGGCCTGCCTGCTCTGGAAGTGCCTTCCCTTGCCTTAAAAGATAAGGTTCACAGTTTGGGGATGTTTCTAGATCTATCCTTTGTCTCAGGTGGTTTCAGGAGGATGGAGTATTTTTTATAAATTTCAATTGATTTACCAACTTTGATTTACCTGGACAGAAACAGCCTCACAGCAATTATTCATACTGCAGCAGTTTCTCAGGTGGGAATGTTACTGCAGTGTGTTCTATATGGGAGTGCACTTGAAATTGGTTTGGAACCTCAATTAATTCAAATTAGAATGGTTTGACTGTTCTTTGGAATGGCAAATATGAACATATTATGTCAGTATTTCACCATTTACACTGCCAGTCCATTCTAACCCAGTTCAAAGTGCTGATTTTTTACCTTTAAATACCTAAATATCTTAGAATCAAGTTATTTGACATGATGCCTTGTTTCATATACTCCTATGCACCTTTCTTCTAACAAGGTTCTTCTCTAAGCCCTTCTACCAGAGAAGGGCATGAATTCTACAGTGGAGAAAATGTTTCCTGTGTTGGCACCTCATTTATGGAATTCCTTCCCCAGACATGCTTAACTTGATGTCCACATTAGCATTACTGTAGCAAAAGGCAAATATGTATTTTATTTGTATTTTGTATGATCACCTTCCTGCTGCCTAGTTTGTATGGTGTTTTTATTGTAGATTTAAATTTGATTTTACTATATAACATTTTATTAAAGTTATCTGGCTGAGGAATTCTGGGAGTTGAAGTCCACAAGTCATAAAAGGGCCAAGTTTGAAGACCTCTGTCTTAAGCTATCAAAAGATCTTTAACTATTGAACATTTTGAAAATTTCAATCAATGCATATTTTCAAACAGCTGCTAGAAGCATATTTCCTAAATTGGCTTACTCTAAGAATGCCTATATTCCAGAAGGAAACAGTATTTTTGCTTTTAGAAGATAAGGTTACTTATTACTAAGAGAATTCTGTGTCCCTTATTTTTAAAAATATAATAATCCATTATAGCACTATTTTCCATTAAGAATAATGAAAAATATGGTTCCATATAGCCTATGCATTCTTAATCTTTTTCTCATTTTTTAAAAAAAATGCATTTATATATATAAGATAAACTGCATAGATACTGATTTTTATTACAAAAAAACCCAATTATGCTGAAATAGAAGTATAAAAATATTAAATATGTACAGAAATAGAGTAATATATGTGTTCTTTATTAATCCCTATAATTTTAGATAGTGAGATATATTAAAGTTAATTACTTATCCAATGTTCAGTATCAATGTTAAGTGAATGAAAAGCTACATTTCAATTAGAATTAGTGGAAAAAAAGTTCCTTCACCAAGTTCACAGACCCACTGAACTCTATTGATGGAACTCCAAAGGGTCCATGATCCTCAGATTAAGAACTTGGAGTATACTTTCCATTAAATAATCAAAGTTATATAGATGTTAAAATTCCATTGAGTCAGGACTTTAATATTTGCCTTTTCTGTCTCAGCAACAACAGTATTTCATAAAAATTCCATAAGCTTTTGGTTGTTTATCCTAACAGATTATTGCAATAAATGTACTAGTAATGACATGATAAAGTGTCTGTTTGTATCAGATGTAAAACTGTAGAGACAAGACAAGTATCTAACCACCCATTTATATCAATGCAATTCTTATACATGGAGGACTATTTTAAGGAATTAAACTTTGAAGTTTCATCAGTCAGGGAAAGAAAGAAATATTAAGAACTTCAACTACAGTAATCTCTGTTTAATCTATGTAGTAGATTTAATCACATTTTATTTTCACAAATAAATAAACCCAAAAATTAACATGAAAGTTAAACTATAGAGGAAAAAAATGAAACCAGACAAAAACAACTTAAATTAGAAACATTATAATAAAATAGATGGAAAATATAAGAAATGTCTTGCATGAAACCAATGTCTATCCAAGTGCTAAAGTTTTTCTAATATTTATAACTATCTAGAGCAGGGGTGTCAAAACTGTCAAATCCGGAAGCTGCGCCCACCCCATTGCCAGCAATGGCAAAACCGTCCCGATACATTGCATGATGTGACGTGACATTGCGAGTTTGACCTGTCTGATCTAGAGCTTGGGCAAAGCAGGCCCTCTCTAGAGGTATTCCTGAAGCTAGCAGAAACTGGGTGGGAGATTATTTCTTCTTTCCTCTTGAAATTAGATGTCAGAAAGACTGACATTTAATAATAAGCATAACGTTATCAGCAGTAAGATAATGACACTTAGGTAACAAACTCTCAGTCTTTATAGGTAAGAACCAGCACATTAAATGAACTGCAAATGTATAATTGGAAAAGTGCATAAGAAGAAGAAAAAGGAGACAGATTGGGCCTGAATTACCTTAGGCTTAATTTACTCTGCTGAGTGGTATTGGCTAAAAATTAACTGCTTTTTCTTTCTTTTTGGAGGAGATTATTGGAGAGCCATAGTTCATATACATATCTTAAAAAAGGAGTGTTAATTTGTTTTTATTCACAGTAAAACAGAATTGCTGAATTAAAGAAAGCTTTTTTCTTTGCTTTTCTCACCTCTTGTGCAGCTTTTGATATTTTGCCACCGGTACGGTATAAAGAAATTATGAACACAATTCTCTTGTGGATACAACAATCCGAAACAAAGCTCTCCATTCCACAAGTTACTGTCACAGATTTAGAAACCATGGAGAAAAGGCTCAGGGAGCTAAAGGTAAACAGAGAAATACTGTCTTGCATATCAACACTGAGATTTAATGTAAACGCAGTGAGTTATTTATAAATGTTATTTCAAACATACACTCTTGAGTGCTAGATCCTGTGAGATCATTCTCAGCCTGACTTGATAGAAGCTAGAAACTGATAATTTCACATATCACAGGCCTTACAAAGTTCTCTGCAAGAACAGCAAAATGGAATCAATTATTTAAGCACAACTGTGGAAGAGATGTCTAGGAGAGCTCCTGCAGGGGTCAGTCAGAAGTACCGGTCAGAAATTGAGGTAATCCTTAGTCGTTGGAAGAAGTTATCGACTCAGCTGGTGGAAAATTGTCACAAACTTGAGGAACAGATAACAAAGTTGAAGCAATTCCAGGTTGGTTGAAATTGTTTTTTGTGGATTAAATTTTACATACATTGCCAAGAGACTTCAGTCTGGGGCACGATGAGTGCTTTCTTGTTTTTATTTGCTTAATTTGTAGAATGGCAAACAAGCAAGTTTATTAAAATGCTATTGAAGGCTGCTATACTACAATATATTACAAGTGGGTGTGTTTTTATTTGCATAGACACACACACTGAAGTTTATTTTAAAAACTGGAGGAATTTATTTCTTGATACAAGGGCACATGTATACATGATGAATATATTTCTTTATTTATATTTTTCTTAGTTTTAAAGATTTTTTTTTGATAGATTGATGAGATTTTCCCCTGATTTAGTCACAGTAACATACTTTCATGCAGTGCAATACTCTCTTTTCAAAATCAGAATAACACAAAAACCTTGAAAAAATGGATGGCGGAAGTGGATATTTTTCTAAATGAAGACTGGCCAGTCCTTGGAGATTCAGAAGCACTAGAGAAACAGTTAGAACAGTGTACAGTAAGTTACCATCTTATGCTCTATTTCATGGATGTAAATGTAAATATCATATGCATAACTGTTGTACAAATACAGTTACTTTTGTTTTGTATATGTGGGTTTATATGTCTGTTTAAGAAAAGTGTGTGAAGTATCTGTGCAGCTATGGCTTCTATTGTATTATTGTACACATTTTTTATCACTATTTTAAATGGTGTTAGCCAGTATTTTTTTCCTTGTTTCATTTTCTTTTTCAAGAAATATGGTTAAATTGCATTTACAAACAATAAAATTGAGTATTACTATGGAGTGGAATTGTAGTGAAATTGTACTTAAAATTGCCAGTTTGTGTGGACAATTCAGAATAAATATGTATTAATATATCCATTTTCAATCTTTCTTCATTAAATTTATATACTACATTTATGTTTATATAATTATTCAACATGGCATAACATTTTATGTTTTATTTATTGATTCATGTCACATATCATGACATCCTAGAGATA